AGGACAAGACGAATTGGTGAGTTTGCAAAAGGTACTGTGAGATAAGAAGTCTTTGCGGTAGCATAATTAAAGCAGTCTGCATACCTGGACGACCAGGTGGCAAGCTTACGTTTGGTTTACCGGACACATGTTGGACTTTGTTGGCAGGTGTCAGAGGGACACTGGCAGACAATTCAGACACGATGGACTTTAAGGGATAAGACATTCTTTTCCACTAGACACCCGCACTAGCTCAACGAGGCCCGTCCCCCACAACGTTCCGTTGTGTCCAGAGCCAGCTCGAGGCCCTCTCAGCAACCTCGCCCAGCTGTTTAATTGTTCGTTTGCGTTCAGTTCCTCGTAAGCCTAGTTGTTTATACACATTGTAAAGTGAAGTGGATTCTTACTGTGTACGCTTCGTCCCTCCTCAGACCAGAGTGAAGAATTTATTGGTTGGCATTTTTGGCTTATCTCGTCAGGACCGTACAGCACTAACAATTTATTTATTGTAGTAAGCTCATGGAGGTCTAGAGAGAACAATAATGGAGGGGTATATGCCTGGGAAGAGAGGAAGAGGAAGGCCAAGGAGAAGATGGGTGCAGGATGTGGCAGCTGATCTCCAGATGGGTGTATCAGACGCAGGACATCTTGCTCATGATAGGAAGGTTTTCCGGAGGGTTGTTATGGCAGCGAGGTTCCGCGAGGGACATGCTACTGAATGAATGAATATAGTAAGCTCTTAAAAATTTGCTGCGAAATGTGCAATTCAACAATGCGGGCATTTTATCGTTTGTGTTTTCTTTGCACAATAGAATATTTCTCAATGTATTCTTCTCTAACAATCAGGCGCCAACAAACTGGTAAAAACTGCAGGCATCTTTGGATGTTTGAGACAACGAGCATGCAGATTATCTGGCAGTTATTACAGTTATTGTAATTAGTCGAAAGTGTAGAACAGAAATGTCACCAATACCATACGAGCATGTATACTACAACGAATAACACTGAAATAACCATGGTTCCTTTTTACCGACCAGATTGGTCGGAGCTGAGTTGGGTTGATTCAAGAACCGACGTCACATCACTAGGGGAATACCCATAAGCGCTTCGTCCCTGTCTTCGGTAGCCAGCGTAAATTGCAAATAACAATGATGCCGAGAGCATTCTGATTATATGTTCGTTCCTCTGAGCGTCGAAAACCGACCAGATCTCCTCGTCACCCTCTGCTTCATCACTCTCACCAGACTGTGGTGATCCTTTAGCTCCTCCGACTTGTACACGTTCTCCCACAAAGCCCTAACCACGCCTGCCTTATCATGTATCAGCATTCCATCATGTTGTGCAGTGCCAGCAAGTCTGTCTGCCTGTTCATTTCCCAGCACTTCAGCATAAACCAGAGACAAAATATACAGACAATGCTTCTAACCTGTGGTCTCTGAAGCTGGAGCTATAGGCAGGAACTTTTCACTCTGGACGCAAACGTTTATTTAATCAAAACAGAAATGCCTCTTCTCTGGTTGAGTTACTGATAAGTAGTTCTGAGCACTTATAGATCTGTCCTAATTACTAAGATCAAAGTGCTTAATAATCAACGATTCTTCTGGGTTTGTTGATTAAAAATAAAGTTCGGGCCACAAAGGCAATTAGGTTAATTTTCTACCCAAACAGCTATAGAAATGTTTTTAGCAATACAAACACTAAAATTAACATCTTTGTACTATTTTGTTTGAATATATGTTTATTACTTAAACTACTACGAGATAGCATGAGTGCAAACATAATAAGGTTACCTACCTAATACATACATCATATATGTGAGTGTGAATACATATATATTTTGTTGTTTAGTTGACAAGGAGTCAGTTAGCAACACACATTTTGGGAAACACTGCGTTCAACATACTCCTTTTTTAATTTACAACCCACCTGACATAACGTCTGAGCATTGTTTTTGCTAACTAATAATATATGCCAGAATATTTCTTTCGAAATACATACACACATGCATACATGCATACATACATACATACATACATACATACATACATACATACATACATACATACATACATACATACATACATACATACATACATACATACATACATACATACATACATACATCCATCCATCCATCCATCCATCCATCCATCCATCCATCCATCCATCCATCCATCCATCCATCCATCCATCCATCCATCCATCCATCCATCCATCCATCCATCCATCCATCCATCCCATCCATCCATCCATCCATCCATCCATCCATCCATCCATCCATCCATCCATCCATCCATCCATCCATCCATCCATCCATCCATCCATCCATCCATCCATCCATGCAGGCAGGCAGGCAGACAGACAGACAGACAGACACACACACACACACACAGACAGACAGACAGACAGACAGACAGACAGACAGACAGACAGACAGACAGACAGACAGACAGACAGACAGACAGACAGACAGACAGACAGACAGACAGACAGACAGACAGACAGACAGACAGACAGACAGACAGACAGACATACATACATACATACATACATACATACATACATACATACATACATACATACATACATATTTATATACACACATATACATGCGCTTAAACATAGCCCGATAGTTTTAGACCAGATGGCATTATTCTCAGTATTATACCAATTGGCTGTATTCTGAAAGAAATGTCCTGCCGTATATTTTCAGTCAACAAAAACAATTCCCAGAAGTTACGTAGGGTGCGTTGTAAATTAAACAAGAGTATGTGGAACCCAGTGTTTTCCAAACTGTGATGCTCACTGACCTCTTTTCAACGAAATAACGAAATTGTTCAGCACCGGATTCTCGCTGGTAAAAGTAAAATCGTCATCATTAATCAAACGCAGTGCCGATAAGCGAAGCCAGTAATGACTGTGCACGATCAGCAGTATGGCGGATCAGGTTAGAGCTCTTGTCTGGCCCCATGCCTATGACCAAGCCATCATGCCATTTCATCAGCCCTCCACCCTTTTTCAGCTTTTCCAGTTCCCGCCCCCCCTACCCCGGGCCGTATTAACAGCTTTATGGCCACTGGTCAAATCAGTGTGCTGGAGCCTCTACGGCAACAACTGATAGGAATGACGTGTAAATGGTCACCTGACATACACAGATAAACATGGAGCCTGTGTTTGTGGGAGCTCTCGGGCGGGTGTTCAGGTGGCTCACGTGTTAAGGCGACGACCTCCGTGTATTAAAACAAACATTTATGGGAAAAAGCTGTAATGAAACGATAACAGACAGGACGAGATAATGAACCGAAACTTTCCATAAAGAAGGCGACCTATACTGATTGTCTAAAGGCTCCTAATTTGGTTGCTCTTTCATAGTGTTTTTTTTTTTTCTTTCTATTTCTTTTAATTTCCCTCTTGCTTTTTCTTCTCTTCCACCTTGTGCCTCAGTGAAGTATCGGGGAGAAATGTAACGTTCGTTGATGAGCTCTGTCAAGAGCACTATTAAGACTGATGTTTATTTCTGCAAGGCAATCACTCCGTATTTTTCGAGGTCTTCCGCTCGCTCTATACCCATTGTAATTGTGGCTTAGCTGCAGGAAAGAAAGGATCAGGGAAGATATTAAAAGCGTTGGGTAAACTGAGATGTTATCCGCTTCCCACATCCAGAGAACCAGAGCATCCTGGAGGTAACGGGATACCTTTGACCAAGATTTTCTCCAAGAGATATAAAAAATGTGGAGCAGAGCCGTTGACACAGTGAAAACTTGGGGCGGAAAGGGGAAGGGGGAGTTGGGCGGGGGGGGGGGGGGGGGGGGAGAATTTAAGAAGGAAAAGGGGTTCCAGCTCCTAAGCCTTGTTTAAATGCCTATAAATAATAATTTCCTGAATGGGGAAAAATACAATGTTTGAACTAATATTTGTGCAACTACAACCCTTAAATATATAATTCACTTTTATACTTGGTTGTGATGGTTGGGGGAAAAGAGGGGGGGGGGGGGCATGGAAGTAGGGGTTAGGCTTTTTAGAAATTAAGCGGCTGCACTGTGGAGGGGGTGATGCAAACAGCGAAGTCAAAATCTAATTTTAAACTGTTCATCTGACAGCGCAAAGCCACCTAATGTATTTATAAAACTTGCATAAGTAAGGTTAGTTGCGTATCCTTTACAGGACGTTGCATAACCAACCCTAACAGCCCCTGGCTATTGTGTAGTCTTTCTAGGCAAATTTAAGTTTAGTAGTTTGCCATTGCTTTCTGGACTGTCGGCTTTCTTGATACGACTGTCGAAACCAACGCAAGCGCAAAGCTCGCAGCTGGGATCGAACCCGGCATCCCGGCATTAGGAAGCGTTCGCATCGACTTAGCCACAGAGCCGACACTTGCATAATACTGGGAGAATAAAATATACAACGTGCATTGTGCCTAAGCCCCAGCTTCTGGCGAACGGCCATATAGTAAGGGGAAAACGAGTTATCATGTAAAAATCTTGGTGTATGGAAATTTTGGTGTATGGGAATCCTCGCACGTTTATGGATTCTATAGACTGGAACGATTTTCTTGACTTGTTTCTTAATCAGCCACTCAGATGCCCTCTCTGCATTAAAGGCAACATATTTCCAACGTTCATCGTCCTTTCGTGGTTGTTGTACGCTTGCTTAGACTGATAGCTAATCGCTCCTGATGTTGCCTTCTTCCCACTTACATCGTTGTCTATCTCTTGCTCTCTTACTTAAACTTTTCATGTAAGCATGGTTTCTCTAAGAGTGATATGTTTTTACTGATGTCAAAACATTTCACCTGCTTACTCTTTATTTCTGTCTTCAAAAGTGCAAAGATATTCAAGTTATTTAATTATCAGGTTTTTAATTGTTTTTTTTATCCAAAGCTAGCATCCGTTTCTGGCTTCTTATTTCTTTGGATTGTGTTTAGTTCTCTCGCAAAGCTCGACATTAGAGATTCTATCGAACGGAAACTATAGTTTTCTTCCGTTCTGCACAGACATCAGATGATAATAGACTATACTTTATCAGTAAATGTCCATATTATGTGTGAACGAACATCGAAGTATTTTGAAACACTCTCGTCGAAAGTTGCCATCAAACAAACTGTAGACAATAGGATTAACGGCGCAGTTTATGAAAAAAGTACGCAGGAAAAGATGATAGAATATGCAGTCTGTTGTAGATCTGTTTTTAAATGCATCCTTATCTATTAATTGAATAAACATTATTGTTAAATGAGGAAGATAACAAAGGATGTAGAAGGCGCTAATAATAAATAACATAACGGTTGTCCTACCAACAGGAAAATCTATTTGATGTGTTTCCTGGAGTTGCAAACGTAAGTGTGGTAGACACCCTTCGCAGCATTTTGTTTCGAAGCCGATCTCGGAATAGTGTCGTCGCTAACTCCATATTGATCCTCTCCTGTAACGAACTTCCATGTTTGGATCCAGAAATGTGAACCGGATATCCGGTGTTGTCAACTACTGAACTGCACCCTGGAGCACTGTCATCAAGGTTTTCTGGTGACGTCTCAGCTTGTCTTGTCATAGCTCTAATGACACCAAATCTCAGCCAGTCAGTTTTCTGAAGGAGGTTGTGGGGAGAGAGTCTAAAACATAGACTCGTTTCTCTTTTGACAGTGTTTAAGCAAACTTTACTGCGCATCTCATAAGGACAACATATAACGTTAAGCCATCTTAACAGCGACAGAGGGTCAAATTCATTCACAGTAGTTTTCATTGATATCGCACAACGTCTGTCGTTTTCTACTCTCTTGAAACTTGGAACACATTTGTCGTATAGAGAAACAGTTTTTACTGAAGGTTTATTTGAGTGAAAAAAGTTCACAGATGTGTCATTTGTCGTCGTTGCTTTCAGTTTATATTCTGCATTATGAAATCCATCTGTGCAGTTGTCAGTGTTTTTCTCATTTGTGTCAGTATCGCCAAGGTTAAATTTTACTGTTTTTATTTTGACATCAGAGTCTTTGCCACAAGTCATTCTAATATTGTTAGTCCGCATGTCTTCTCCATAACGTGTCTGATTGGTATTTCTATTGTCTGCATTATATTGTCTGTTTTCATGACAAGAATGGTTCTTTATAGCAAGTTGTGTTTTGTGTAACTGAACAAACAACTCAGCTACCACCGGAGCATGAACTTCAATCCCATTTGAGAAAATAGGGATATTACACCGAATTGGGGCTTCATTCTTCTCGCTACTTACCCGAAACCATTTCATTTCATAATTGTCAAAATGGCTAGAGCTCTGACCAGCGGTATAGGGTCTTGTCGACATATTTACACTGCTGCTGCAAGGACTTTCACACCTAGTGCAGTTACATTTATTTTGGTTGCAGCATCGCTCAACAGCGTTTGAATCGCCCCTATAACTATTTGTATACGGTGACGGATACATGGATACCGCCGGAGAGGCACCGCCGTACATTTTACTGTGTTTCCAGGCTTTTGCCCCTATGAGAATGTACAGTACTGAGACGGAAATAGAGCAAGCAATGTACAGCATCAGAAAAAACACGTAGATGACCAATGGGTAAATTGTGTTGGCGTACTCGTCATCCGTTGTGCATTCGTACGCCACGATATCAGGGTAAGGTGTCGGTTTTTTTTTGCGACCCTTGATGAAAGCATACGGCGCAGAAAACGAAGCTCCAAGCAAAGACACAACGATGCTGATCACCTTTGCGTCCCTAGGGTTGATTTGCCACCGATGTGGGCAGCACACTTTTCGATACCTGTGACAGATTTAAACATTCTGAGCAGTGAAAGAGGGAAATAAAACTTGGCAAGGCTGACCAAAAGAAATACAATAGTCAGAAATTACTTCTTAAGAGAGAGAGAGAGAGAGAGAGAGAGAGAGAGAGAGAGAGAGAGAGGGAGAGGGAGAGAGAGGGAGAGAGAGAGAGAGAGAGAGAGCGAGCGAGAGAGAACCCATTCTGAATTGCGTCCAAAGACAGCAGAGCAAATGGTTTGCATACTTAGAATGTTGAATGTTGAATTAGGAATCGACCTCACAGCAGGCGGCACACTCCCAAAAGCGTCCAGTCCTCATCTTCAGCAGCCTTCAAAGACTTCTAATTTCGATGGCACCAGTAACAGTCTGATTGTATATCCGTCTCGCTTCTCCCTTGAATGTTGAGCGTCGGCCAAATTCCCTGGTATCTTTCCTCCGCGCCATTCTCCTCAAACGATAAAGATCCATTTCTGCCTCCGCGTTGTTTCACCCACTCCCAAATGGCTTTCACAACCTCTAGTTTGTCATTCATCAGTTCACCATCAAGTCATGCGGAACCGGCCAGTCTATCTGCCTGCTCGATTCCCATGAGACATACTTAGAGAGAATGCCTTGTGACACGATAAGATACAAGGCATAATCCAACGGAGGAGGAGGGCCTAGGGGACAAGGTAGACCAGGAACCAGATAGAAATATAAGATAAGAGGTCTATTTATGCTGCAGGTATGAATCAAGAAGTGTCATCACTGCACTCGGGACATTCCCACACGTGCTCAGTCCCCTTCCTCAGTAGCCAACAAAGAGCTGATTTGCCGACAGTACCAGTTGCCATCTGGTTAAAAGTCCGCCTTTGTTTCCCCTTCAGTTTTGAATAACTTCCGGAAGAGCTAATTCGTTGCGAACGTGCTTCGTAATGACGAGGTCCCGGGTTCGATTCTAGCTGCAGACCTTGCATCTTGCGCTGGTATCGAGAAGTCGACCCCTCCAGAAAGCTATGGCAAACTATTGGACGTAAATTTGCCTAGAAAAACCACAACAGCCAAAAAAATGCTGGAGTTGGTTCTGCAACACCATGTAAAGGATACGCAACTAACAACAGCAAAGGCGTGTGTTTGGTCGAGGCGCCAAAAAAGCAAGAATCACAACTATATCTCCCGCGACACTCGACGCAGTCAAAAATGAAATGAAGAACAAGAAGAAGAAGAAAAATCAGTCTTAAACTCGCTGAGTTCTAGTTAGTTATTGCTTCAAAGTATTCAGTTGCGAGGCCTATTCACTTTAATTGTTGCACCAGCAAGGAAGGCGAGGGCAAAGTTTTGAGGGCATGCATTTTCATTGTAGCAGCCCGCTGATGTGAGTCGTGAACCAACGCTTATCATTGAGAAAGAAGATAAGAGCTTTTGAGCTGAAATGCTATAGAATGATGCTTACAATCCCACAGATCAAGAACAAATGAAATATTGACATCTTTAAAAAGTACTATTCAAGTAAGTTTACTTATCATCCTCATGTAGCAGGTCATTTGCAGAACGTCGCTCTCATCACGGTCTGCCTGAAAGAAACTCGGTCTCTCGCCAGCTCTCCCGCCTCAGGTACTTTCATACTCAAGGAGTCACTTATATCCTGTGCCCGTCTTCGTATCGGTCGGCCCCTGCCCCTCCTTCCTGGTACCATGCCTTCTGGTAAATTTTTTTCCAATCCGTCATGGCGCTTGATATGACCAAAATATTTCAGCTTCCGAGACAGGAGCTGTTTATTAGCCAATCTTCATCAAGTTCAGATCTTTCAAGATGTCAGTATTCCTCCTCTTCCTTGTCCAAGATATTCTGAGAATCTTTCTATAGCATTTCAGCTCCAAAGCCCCTATTCTTTCTTAAGGACTGGGAGATAGTCCACGATTCAATAGAACAAAACAACTGGCAATAATCCATGGGCTACTAGCTAGGCCTCTGCGATTTGACATGGGTAGTGCTCGCCGTTGTGCCTTGTTCAACATCAGACAAACAATAGAAGATCTCATCAAGACGACACAGTACCAACGAACCATCACTCTGATATTTAGACACAAAATTAGCACTTGTTAGTTTTTTTCGTTTTTTGACATTTTCAATTATGTGCGGGTTTGTCTCAAGTTGTAGTTAGCAGCACTTAAAAATAACCGTTTTTTGGCCGACAGTGTGCTGCCAGTTATCCTAGTCATCCACTTGTGGGATTTAATTTTTCGTTATTTGAAGTCCCTCCCTGCTCTTTGCCTGGGGCCGCAATATAGCTTGGTCATAAATATGGTCAAATGTCTGAACGCGGTTTCCGGGACCTCTCCACTGGTGATTCTCATCCACACTTTGTGTCATCAGGTGTTTATCGTTCTGTGTAGTGTCCTGGTGTGGTAACATTACTTATTTAATCATTGTGCTACCAGTGCCAAACATGAACCCTTACTACAACTAACAACCGTAAAATTGTAACAACAGAGATGAGATGTATTCTGAGAGCTTCCGGTGTGACAAGAAGGGATAAAATCACGAATGAAGAAATAGGAAGAAGACTTATACTTCTTCTTCTTTCGTTCGCCTGAAATAAGTTATCTATATCAGCAGTTTTGTCTCTTGTATAAATTTCACTGTCGTTGTTAGTTCATTCAGTGGTCCATAGAGTTTACGTTCCACTGTTGTTCTTTTTGGCCAAAAGGTTTGCCTTAATGTGTCAAAATCGGTGCAGTCCTGGAGTACATGCTCTGCTGTCTGGGGCACATTTCCACAGGTGCACATGGCTGATACACCTATCTTGAATTTTGTGTACATGTGGTTACGTAATCGGTTGTGCCCTGTTCTGAGGCGGAAAATAATGACTTGTTCTGGTCTGTCCATAATAAAATAGTCGTCTTGTGCTGGGGCTGGTGGTTTCCTGATCGATTTAATGATTCTTTTCTTTTGGTGGTATGTGACTGGTACATCTGGCTGCTCTTTTTTCGCACCTTCCCCTGCCAGTTGATCAGCTTTCTCATTTCCAGGCACTCCGCAATGAGACGGTATCCACTGCATTACGACTCTTCGCTGAGCGCTGAGTTGTGTTAGCAGTGTTTGCAATTCTGGTAGTTTCCTAAACTGGAGTGCTTCAAGTACTGATTTAGCATCTGTGAGCATTACCACATACTGTAAGCCAAGGTTGGTATTTAGCAGTTTCTCTGTAGCTATCTTAATAGCCTGGGTTTCTGCATCATAGTTATGGCAGTACTTCCCGGTTGGTACGCTGGACTTATCCCTAGTACCATCTGGGAATTCGATGTACACTCCAGCACCACCATTTCTAACTGCACTTTCTGCGGACCCATCTGTATAGACTCTGACCCATTGTTCTTGTGGGTATTCTTCATCAATATAACTGAGGGTGGCCATTCTGCGTTGTACACTATCTTGCTCTTTCTTGTCAAATATCCCTTTCACATTTGTCTGGATTTGTACCGTTAGTTTACATTTTTCTCTCCATGGGGTTTGTTCCGGAATACTTTTAAGTGGGCAGACAATTTCTGGAAGGTCAGGAGTTTGTCTACATATTCTTTTTGCTTGGTGTATAAAGCTGCTTCTTTTTAACCGTCCCAAGGCTAGGTTCTTAAATCTATTTTCCATCGGGTGATCTGGCATACTGAGGAACTTTTCAGCTTGTATTTGCAACTTTGTATCTCTGCGTTCTCTCAGTGCCTGTGTTTTCCCAGCTTTCTCCATTTCTAATATGGGAGTTGATTTCATCCCTACTGTGATGACTCTGAGCGCTTGATTTTGCACTTTGTCTAACTCCTTTAATGTAGTACTAGATGCTGAACACCATGCAGTTGACCCATATTCCAAGTGTGGAAGTATGCTCTGCTTGTTCACTTTATTGAGTATTTTCCCATCTGCTCCCCATGTGGTTCCACTTAGTTTTCTTAGAATTGCTGTCTTCCTCCTGGCTTTGGTTGCTGCATTGTTGATATGTTTTCTCCATGTCGACCTGTCATCAAATGTGACTCCTAGGTATGTGGGCTCTTTATCATCTCTCAGGGGTATTTCGTTCATTTTGATGGTGCCGGCTTTTTGCTTTGGGGAGAGGGTGAATAGTGTGGTGCTACATTTGTCTGTGTTGATGTTGACACACCATCTATTGGCCCATGCCTCAAGTGCATTTGTAGCCCGCTGTAGTGTTTTTGTGGCTATCGTTGCATGTTCATTGGTGTACCACAGTACCAGGTCGTCGGCGTACATTGCCATTTTGATTCCATTTAGTATCTCAGCAACCAGATCGTTGATAAATAAAAGGAAAAGTGTGGGCGACAGGACACCACCTTGAGGGACGCCTTGTCGCAGTAGAACTTTTTTGCTTTTAAAACCATCAACCTGTACCCGGGCTCTTCTGTTATGTAGATATGCTTTAATCCAATTGTACATTTTCCCATTTATTTTATAGTTTCTCAATTTCTTCAAAAGCCCCTCCTTCCAAACCTTATCAAAAGCTTTCCTTAAATCTATCCATGCCGCGAGTACCAGTTTCTTATCTTGAAAAGCATCCTCTGTTTCTTGGGAGAGGTATGTTGTCTGGTCTTCCGTAGAATAGAACTTTCTAAAGCCCGCCTGCTGTGGTGTAATGATGTTTTCACTTTCAATGTACCACTGTAGTCTGAGGTTGGTGATGCGCTCCATTGTTTTACAGAGACAACTTGTGAGGCTGATTGGTCTGTAGTTGGAGGCATTAGAACTGTCTTTCCCAGGCTTTATGAGGGGTATCATAATTGCCTCTCTCCAGATCTGTGGAACATTCCCTGTTGCCCAGCAAGCATTAAATATCTGTAAAAGCTTTGTTTTGGCTACTTGTCCTAAGTTTCTGATCATTTCGTTTGAAATACCATCTGCTCCTGGTGACTTCCGCATTTTCAGCTTTGAAATGGCCAACTCCAGTTCATTAAGTGTAATTGGCACCTCTAGCGCCTCTGATGTTATTTCTTTCTGACTTCTAAATTGTGTCTTTTCTTGAATTTCGTGTTTTTTCTCTGAACTGATTTCAATGTCGTTATCTAAAGCAAAAGTGTCCGCAAATAGGAAGGCTGCCTCTTTTCCTGTGACCATGTTTCCATCCTTTTGCAGCGTGATCTTTGAGTTCCACCCTGTGTCCTCATCATTAATTTGTTTCACAAGCTTCCATAACTTTCTTGTGTCTTTTTCAAAGTTCAGCGACCTTGTTTTCTCCTGCCAGCTTTCCCTTCTAACCTGCAGCTTTGCCCTTACAAATTTTGCTTTTGCATGCTGGTAGTTATTGTGATGTTCTTGGTTTGGCTTGGTCTCTGCTATCTTTCTGGATGTTTCTACTTCGTTATGTAAATTTTCTAGCTCATTACTCCAGTATGGTTTATAATGCTTACGGGCACCTCTTGGTATTGATTCTCCTGCTGCCTTTAGTACGGATTTGTTAAATTCTTTAACTACTTTGTTTATATCCTGGTCTACGCTGAGACTTCCAAGCAGTATACTGGTACGGTGCTTGAACATTGTCCAGTCAGCCTTCTTGTAGTTCCACCTTGGCAGCGTACTAGTTTCTCTGACCTTCTCATTTTCTACATTCAGGAAGACCGGTCGATGGTCACTGCCTCCCAGTTGATTTCCAACAACTCGTTTAATGTTCCATTCCAGATCTGGAGAGTGAAATGCTAGGTCTGGGGTAGTAGTGGTGTGCCACGACCTCGAGTAGAATGTGGGTGGATCAGTTGGCCTATTAATAAGAACAAATCTGTTCTCATCCTGCCACTCCTCCAGTTTCTCTCCTCTCTGGTCTATATGGTCATATCCCCAGCTTTGTGAGTGGCTGTTAAAGTCTCCACATAGAATCATCTTTTCTTCCACTGGAATTGTGTCTAAAGCCTGGGGACGATCACTTGGGCAGTAATAATTGATCAGGTAGAAGTCTGCATTTCCAGTTTGTAGTTTCAGAATCTGACTAATACTGAAACCAGTTATAAAATTCATCAAAAAACTACAAAAGAGATGGTTTGGCCACCTGACGAGAAAGCGCTGGTACAACTGACACAGAGAGCCATGCTGAAAAAATATAATGAACACATAGCAAGGGGAAGACCACGCAAGATATGGAGCGAGATCATTAGTAGCAGCCTAATAGAAACGAACACCAACTTGTACAATACATTAGAAAAAGCGCACAAACGATCCTTACACCCCCCCCCCTTCCCGCCCCCAAGCCACACCTTCCCAGCACGTCACTTAGGTAAATGATGGAAGAGAAGAAGAAATGTTTTATTTTTTGCCCTCCTCATATCATCCCATTTTGTAATGATTGGGTCGGTGTAGATAGGGGGATTAGGGGGCGGGGGGGGGCGCCGCGCAAAGGTCTTACAATATACTTATTACTAGCGCCACCTGATAAAATGATCGGAATTCTAATCGCACTGACAACGTCGGCGCGATCAAAACAATGTCACACATTATGACAGATAAATACCTTATCACCGCGATTGCAACTAAAATCATGCCCGCGCTGAGTGTTGTGAAAGCTGAAGTAAAGAGCCTAGCTCTGCACAAATGCGGGTTGTTGAAGTCCCATGTGTGAAACATGTCGTATATCTCAGCTGAAATGCACGGTCAAAAAAATTAATTCATAGTGCGTTTACAAATTCATGACTGCATAGAACAAGTATTCATGTGGTACTTTAATTTATTGCAACCCCTATCTCGTAGCTTCCAAATTTCTTAGGGAATTACCAGGGATCCCTAATGGTTTCCTTGAACTGTACCATAATATGGGCCGAGAAAGAAATGGAGGTGGGAGGGGTTAGAGCTGGTATTACATGAATAACTAACGAACTTACAACTAATTATGCAACTAACTAACTACCTAACTTACAACTAACTAACTTACAATTAACTAACTTACAACTGACAAACTTAAAAATAACTAAATAACTTACAATTAACTAACTAACTAACTAACTAACTAACTAACTAACTAACTAACTAACTAACTAACTGACTAACTAACTGACTAACTAACTAACTAACTAACTAACTAACTAACTAACTAACTAACTAACTAACTAACTAACTTACAACTAACCTACAACTAACTAACTAACCAACTAACTAACAACTAACTTACTATCTTACAACTAACTAACTAACTATCTTACAACTAAGTAACTAACTATCTTACAACTAACTAACTAACTAACTTAAAACTAACTAACTAACTAACTATCTCACAACTAACTAACTAACTAACTAACTAATTTAAAACTAACTAAGTAACTAAGTAACTAACTATTTTACAACTAACTAACCTAAAATTAACTAAGTAAATAACTAACTAATGAGATGTTTGAGAATGGCTGCGAATAAAACCAGAAGAGATCGAGTGAGAAACGATGTGATTACAAGAACTATTGGAACCATACCCATCGTTAAATTTATTGAGAAGCAAAGAATGAAATGGTTTGGTCACCTAATGAGAATGGAACCAACGATGCCAGCATCAAGAGCATACAACATGAAAATCGAAACACCAAGAGGCAGGGAAGACCAAGAAGAAGATGGATTAAAGGAGTCACGGACAACTTGAGACTTCATAACATCACGGCATATGAAGCAACTGAGCGCGCCTTGGCTCGGTTGCCGATCATCTGATAGACTGCGACGCCTAGTGGCACAAGCAGATTTTGACAAAAAGAAAAAAGAAAAAGAAAATAACTAACTAACTATCTTACAACTAACTAACTAATTTAAAACTAACTAAGTAACGAACTAACTATCTTACAACTAACTAACTAACTCAAAACTAACTAAGTAACTAACTAAATATATAAGCGCACGGACAGTGATGTAAGTAAAACCTCGTTAAGGTAAACTCACTAGTGAAAAACATGCTCACAATTATGGCCCAATAATCTGAGTCCTCAGCATGATTTTGTTGTTGTTGTTGCTGTTGCAAACACAAACTCTTGATGTTTCGGTATTTTTAGGATAAAAGTTAACTGTTTAGGTCCCAAGGAACGCATCATGCTTTCATTGGTTCCTACATAGAAGCCCAATCAACGCAAGATACGCTGACTTTATTTCTCTTTTTACTACCCCTTGGGGGTCTGATAATAAACCCCATGGACTGAACGAGTTAACTAGGTTTGCTGAACGTGTAATGTTTAAATGACATGTTTAATTATTGAATAACACGTTTAACTCTTCACTGACACGTGTAACACACTGATCCACCAACAGCAACTTACCGGGTATGGCGATAATGTTAGCTACCAGATCCAGCACTGCAAGAGTGATGACCAACACCACTGTCCCTGTCCAGTGAGGCTTGCGGGCGTATACAATGATGACCAGTGTGTTGCCGATGAGACCAGACGAAGCCAGAAGTGTGAGGAACACAATCGCGGGGATCATGACTCTTGTTGTCTCTTCTTGGAGGTGATCCAGGTACCACTGACGTTCTTCATCGGAGACGGGTTGTCTGGTAAAGTTGCTGTCGTTTGCACAGATGGTTAGTTGAGCGTCAGCCGCTGAGATGGGGGCAGTTGTTAAGTCAATGAGCAGGCACACTACCCACGACACCACCTGAACTTCAGCAACAGATGTTATCACGACGGATTTCTCCAAAACAGATGACATTTTGTTTTCTTCGACACGTCGAAAGTCAGCCTCACAAGCTTTCAGACTACCCTATCAAGACATCAAATAACAATAATAATAATAATAATAATAATTAGGGCTGTACTAAATAGGGATTTTCACTATTCGGCCGAATACGAATAGCGGGACCAATTATTCCGCCGAACACGAAGAACAGTGATTGTCTTCTTCTTATTATTGAATAGAGAGATCTACTTTCCTTACTTTTTTAAAGGTTTTTAAATAACTTTACGAAATATTTGAAACAGCTTTGAACTAAAATAACGCCCTATCACATTCAGCGTCTGTGGCTAAGGCATACCGCCGTGCTAAGTATTTTCCATGTGCCAGATTCGATCCCAGTGGACCAAGAGGTGAAGAATAGAAGCAGGGATTGGATAGGACACTCGTTGAGAAAACATAAAAACAATATAAATAGAATGGTTTTATACTTGAACCCAAAAATGCATATAAATAAAGGAAGACACACACGCACGCCCCGCCCCGGGGTGCGATATCTGCTCTTTTTGGCCTAACTTGGGGGGGGGGGGGGGGGGGGGGTGTTGCTGTGTGTGTGTGTGTGTGTGTGTGTGTGTGTGTGTGTGTGTGTGTGTGTGTGGCAGGAAGAGATCTCTGGAATGGGCTCAACTGTTCGCTTCGTTAAAATACTTCCTGCCACACACACACACACAAACAGCAACACACACACACACGCGCACACACACACACGCACACACACACACACACACACACACACACACACACACACACACATGGTAGCAAATCGTTATGCATTTGCTTCGACGGTGTTATTGAGAGTTGACATTCCGGTAAGCAGGTTTGAGGTTTGAACAACGTATCAACATCGCGGCACACCGGTAGTAACCCATAAGTGCTCCGTTCTTTCTTCTAAATCAAGTATGAGTCCAAAGAAGCTCAGCATAGTGCACAGGCTCTGTAGCACCGACAAGGATCCTGAAATACACTGGGTAGATTTTTAACTCCACATTTTCCGGGCAGCTATGTTAGCTCTATTCGATTTTCAACTGCCAAGTTATTATTTTTTTTTTTTTTTTTACGTGCGCAACAATGAACATGAGCGTCCGATCTCATAACCCAGAGACAAGGGAGAATTACTAGAAGTCCAAGTTCACGTGAAAAAATCTCAGCCCTTACCGAAGATTGTACCCAGAACCTCTAGACTCGAGGCGGACACTATGCCTCGAGACCACGCAGTTCACCCCTCCCCCCCCCCCCCTTACCTTTCTTGTAAGCAGTGGCATGCTAATAGATGTAAACATAGCTAAAATTCATAACTTGGTTTTGAAGTTCCTGTAAAGGATAAGCTACCAACTTGTTTTTTCCTGTACCCCAAGTTAGGCCAAAAAAAGCACATTTCGCACCCTAGCTGGAAACAACGAAACATAAACAAAATCTGATGCAGTACAAAGGCACTTTCCTTCGCTTCTGAATTATCTGCTGAAGTAAAACCTCATATTATATTATAACCACAATGAAGGTTGGCTGCAATGGATCTCCAACAAGCCCTGTCTCTTGCCCTTGATGTACACTCACTCATACTGCTGTTCGTCCATCTCTTGATGTTATCCTCCCACGTGTAACACTGTCTGCCTTTTGCTCGACTACCTTGAACCTGTCCCTCTAGGAGGATCTTTACAATACTGTTATGTCTTTTAATGTGGCCAAAATATTTCACTTGTCTCTTTTTTATTTTCCTTAGCAACTCTCTTTTCATTCCCAGTAAGACCATGAGAAAATTCATATTTCCTGAAGTTATAAAGTAGCAAGGAAACAACTTTTATTATGGGGTCACCACAACATTAGGAACTGAACTGAAGGATCGTGGCATTAGGAAGGTCGAGAACTACTGATCTAAACGATTTGTCAATAATACTGAAGTCTTAGACATAGCTATCTTACTTAAGGCTCTGTTTTCAAGAATGCCTATCTGATACATATTATTACTGACTGATTTGTCCAACAGAGTCACACAATCTTTAACAGACAACAATTTTTTGACTATCTGCCCAGTTTTTAAGAATACACAATCTGAGACAGACATCTCTATCTTGTTCAATCCTTTAAAGAAAGTCTTGAAAGAATCCCTAACAGTCTTCAACGTACATCATTTTCTGATTACATGCTCTGTCTTAAAACGTAGTCTTAGGCAGGCATTCGCATCTTATTGACTGCGCTGTCTCAGCAAAGCACAGATGTGGTCAGAGCCCTTTAAGAGCAAGCAACGCAATCAGCAGAGAAACAATATTGTTATGTCCTGGAAAGATTGAGACACTTGGGTGTAACTCACTACACTTAGAGGACAGTCTGTGACCGCTACCATCAGTACAGGAACTCTGCACTGGCTGCTGAAGATGAGGACGGAGCACGCATGGGAATGCCCCGAGTGCTGTGATGTAAAGTCTTGAATCAACTCAACTCAACTCAACTGTCTTACTATTGTTCTGTCTAAAAGTATTATTTAAGTCTTTACCAAACATCAATATCATATTATTTGCTCTGTATTCAGTAATAGAATGTCTCATATAGACATCTTTGTCTTGCTGACTGCTATTTCTTCCGGAATTATAATTCATCAAGCAGACACATTTGGTAGGATGGTTACCCAGAGAAAAGAGAAAAGATATACGGCCATATAATCAGCAAACCTTACTCTCAATCTCTCTTTTTTTTTTTTTTTTGAGGTGCGTTCAAAATGGCGGTGTTTTCTTTCAATGCTGTTTGACTGTTCCCGGAAAAATCCGACTTTTGCAGAATTGCATTAATTCTATTTTCCCCACCAACACCAATGTTTTCTTTTCGTTCTTCTTCTCTTCCACCTTGTACCTCATCGAAGTGTCGGGGGGAGATGTAACATTCGTTGATTATCTTTGTCAAGAGCACTATTAAGACTGATGTTCATTTCTGTAAGATTGTTCTTAATGCCATCACTCCATATTTTCCGAAGTCTTTCCCTCGCTCTATACCTGTTAGTGTGGCTCGCTGTGGCAGATTGTAAAAGGGCATTCTTGTTGGGTGTCCAAATAAATTTATTTGTTATTATTTAATGACGTGTAAGACTGGCGTTATTTCTAGCATTTATCTGATTTCGTGATTACGTATTCTGTCTTTCCTTGAAACTCCCGCAGCTCTTCTGAGGCATTTAGTCTTTGTGGTCGCAATTTTACATTCATTGGAGGATGTCAGTGTCCACCGATGTCACCAGTGTTAAACAGGGACCATTCCTACACTTAATCAGAAGAACATCATTACACACAAAGGAGTGACGTTTTAGAATAGCTCGTTATCATCATCATCATCATCATCATCATCAAGTGCCTTGCCAGCTGGGTTCATACATCTTTACAGATTTCTGTCTTTGGTGTTTTGGATCGATTCCACTGATGATATTCCTTCATACCACTGTCTCCAGCCATCAACCATCATTTCTCTTCGTCTGCCTCTGCCTTTTCTACCAGTGATCTTTCCAGTCGTCACGATATTCTCTAGTGCTTCTTTTCTCATTACATGACCAAATAAGTTTGTTTGTCGCCTTCTCGTTGTTGTATATACTGTTCTATTTTCATTGACCATTTCCAGGCAATTATTGTTAGTAATTCTGGCAGTTACATGTATTCGCAGCAATAAGGACAATTAGAATAGCTACCATAGGAGCTTTTGAGCTGAAATGCTATAGAAAGATTCTCAGAATATCTTGAACAAAGAAGATGAGAAATATTGACATCTTAAAAGATCTGAACATCAAGGAAGATTGGCTAATAAACAGCATCCTTTCTCGAAAGCTGAAGTTTTTTGGTCATATCAAGCGCCACGACGGATTGGAAAAAATTATAGTAGAAGGCATGGTACCAGGAATGAGAGGCAGGGGCCGACCGACACGAAAATGGGCACAGGATATAAGTGACTCCTTGAGTGTGAAAGTTCATGAGGCGGGAGAACTGGCGAGAGACCGAGTTTCTTACAGGCAGACTGTGATGAGAGCGACGTTCTGCAAAAGGACCTGCTACATGACGATGATGATGAGAAAAGCTACCGGCATAAAAGAAATTGATGGTCAAAAATGGGGATTTTTAAAAACAGGGGGAAGGGGTGTTAGGGATCTTCTATGTTTTCCTCCATAAGCTTTTGTATAAATTGAGCTTCATTTCCCCATGACATCTCCTAATGCTGTCTTTCCATTTTTTTCAGGCCTGACGTTGTGTGTTTATTAACGGTAGTAGTGACAGGAGAGAACAAGCATATGCATTTTTACAAAAGATAACTGGCAAATCATACAGTGACCAAATGACGTTGTTCGTCGTATCACCACTCACTGTACTGTCAACTATAAAGTCCGTTTAACAACAACAAAGAGACATCGGCGACCGGGTCGCCTCTTGGCCTCGTCGTCGGTCGGGACAGTATTTAGTCTGATTCCTTTGATCGCATTAACACTGCAAGAGTCCTTTTTATGGCTACTTGGTGGTGAGCAATGTTCAGCCATTTCGTGTGGCGCAAATAACCTGGTCACAATTATCACCAAGAGGTTCCCCTTCGGGGATGCTGGTTAAACGTGACGATCTGAATTTTTTTTTTTTTTTTTCGTTTGTAAAACTAGGAAGAAAGAAACAGAGAGACAGACAAAAGTAACAGTGCGGACACGTAAAACGATCTTCCGAACTTTCCAAACTGATACTACATAGTTCCCGTAAGACTGACAAGGACAATGTGCAGACCACACAAGACATAGATACAACTGAATGGACAGCTTTCAAACATGCTGGAGATCATTGCATCAGACCGAGATAGGTGGCTGGATCTAATTAATCACCGGTAACTGGTTGCCCAGCAACGCTCAATGTTATGAGGCAATGATGACGAAACTCTTAGTTGTTTGTTTCTGCTCTTGCCCAGTGTTGCCACTTTGGATGTTTTACATCCAGATTTAAATGTTTTCCTTGCATTTAGATGGCGTTTTTGAC